CCCCGAACTAGTCGTGCATTCTGACTAACTTGGGGAAAGGCTGGGGTAAAAGATAGTTAAGACAGGCAGTGAAATTAAAACTACCATCAATCCAGGAAGCACTAGCTATGAACAAACATATCTGTGCAAACAGCGGGATGATAAACTACAGAGAGACAAACAAAATCAATTTGTCACTTTCTTAGTAAAGGTAAAGGTTTCCCTTGTTTGAAAGCCAGTCGAATCTGACTCTAGGGGGTAGTGCTCATCTCTGTTTCCAAGCCGAAGGGCCAGCACTGTCCGAAAATGTTTCCATGGTCATGTGGCCGGCATGACTAGATGCCAAGGCGCACGGAATGCTCTTTCATACCAGTAATTTAGTGCATGACTATATCCTTCCAGGATCCTGAGCCTGCTCGGTCACATCACTTCCTCATTGCGGAGAGAGTTGTTGGTGTAGAGTACCGCAGAATACAGTGCTTCAGTGTGGCTCAACAGCCCCCATGTCCACAAATATGATGTCCAACGCAATATGAATGAGACCCCTTAGCGGATGTAGTAAACCCATTCTGACCAATGTTCCCTCTAAGGTGTGGAGTCTTGTGAGCAAAAATCCTACTTTGTGAGCTACTGGCATTAAAGTTGTGAGTGAGCGATTTGGCGACTGCATAAATCAGTTTGCTTTGGAGCCGTCCTTCCTGAGCTAAGACAAAAATTTGTGAGCTAGAGGCTAAAAAACTGTGAGCTAGCTCACACTAACTCAGCTTAGAGGGAACACTGATTCTGACCTATTGGCTACGCACACTGTGCCACGTCAGTCCCCCCCCCCATCTCCGAAGACAAGATGCTCTTCTTCGTGAATAGAGAACGATAATTGAAAACAGAGAGTTGCCCATCCACAAAGTCGTGGCCAACACGGGCCTATCCAAACTAAGATCCCGACGCTCAGCAATAAGATCCGCACAGATCCTGCAATCACAAAATGGAATGAATGGTTGTGAACATGGATGCGATCAGTTCCACCTGATATCATAACAAAATCGGTTTCTTTTAAAAAGGATTTAAATAAAATGTTCTATAGGTGGCATATAATGCCAGAGAAATTAGGCAGAATGTACCCTGGAATGTCTGACAAATGCTGGAAATGTAAGACACGGGTGGGAAGCTTTTTTCATATTTGGTGGAAGTATAAAGAGGCAATGTTATATTGGAGAAGGGTTCATGAAATGTTACCAAAAATATGTTTGCTATCGTTACCATTTAAACCTGAAATATTTTTGCTTAATATTATGCCTGATGTAAAAGATAAGAAAGTTAGGCACTTAAACCGCCTCACTCTAAAGACTGCATAATTGGAATTAAAACATACTAGGTTAAATGTATACCTGAGGATGTCATGACATCTCTCCAATTACTATAGAACTATGTATGATTCTATACTCACACACTTTTGATATTTATAACATGTTGTTATGAAATGTATAGTAATCACTTCACAGAAGACGAATTTGGGGGATTCCCCCACTGTTGTACGTGCACTGAGTTTACAATTTGTATGTTGCTATCCTACGTAAGTGTATTTGACTGTATTTCATATTGATAATTGATGATTGCACGTGAAAATTTGGAATAAAAATGTTATTTTAAAAAGATTATACATATAGTTACGGCAGCAAGAATTCTTTATGCTAAGTATTGGAAGAAATCAGAGATACCAATGGAGAATGAACTTTTGACCAAAAAAAAATGGAAACATCAGAAATGGATATATTGTCGGACTTGTTAAAAGACCAAAGCAAACAAAATGGGAGAGTCAATTGGATACCATTCTATGGGAGGAAAGAAACTTCGAAGACCAGGAGTAATGGATACATCTATTATAGACTTGGAGAAACTCTAACTTAAACTGTAAAGAATCTGATTTTTTTCAGGAATCATAATAGAAGGTTTTAGCTATTTGATTAAGTGTTACTAGTTTTAGTAATGATATAAACCACAGAGATCTGGAAACAAAGAATTAAGATGGAAAATCTGTAACAGCTTTTATATAAACGTAATGGAATTTCCCGTGATGTCTTATCCCATCCCTTGTACTCTTCCTGCCCTATAAAGTATTAAAACCAAATTTTAAAAAATATATTTTTTAAAGTTCCACCTGACATCCATAACCCGATAAACACCAACGAGAAGGCCCAGAGGAGTTGACTTGCCATGGAAAGTATGGAAGACAGCTAATAGAATACAAACAGGCTTTGGTAGTTGTGCAGACCTGTTGGTTCCTCCCCTTCCCAAATGCCACCCCCAAAATTTCCAGGTATTTCCCAACCCAGAGCTGGCAGCTGGACTTTTACTCGAGGCAACCAGCCACAAGCCACAGAACTACATGCAAGCTGCTGAGTTTTCCAGAACTCTGTGAGGGGTGGTTTTAAAATGTTTTTAAAAACTTTTGCCTGATGTCTGGAGAACTTGAAAACTTGCATACTGTATTATTTGGATGCTTCTAGTAAACGATATTATGCAGCTTTTGTGTTTGGATTTCGCTGTGGATCAGTGCAGTCAGGCCCGTAGCCACAGTGGGGCATTTGGGGGCAGAGCCCCACCACCCAAGAGCCCTGCCCCACCATTTGATGATGCCAGACACCCCCACCCCAGTGTGCCTGGCCCCACAGCAACAGCAAGGCTGTGGAAAGAAAGGGAAGTTGCCCTGCAGCTTCTGGTCAGTTTCAGTCCCTGCAGATCAGCTGTTCAGAGGGGAGTGAAACTGACCAGAAGTGGCAGGGCAGCTTTCTTTTCCTTTGGTCAGTTTCACTCCCTCTCATCTGTTGTTAAACCTAACAGGCGTTCCTCCTGGAGTGAAACTGATCAGAAGTGGGGGGGGGCAGCTTCCCTTTCCCAGCCTCCCCGCTGCTTGTGGGGGGGGGGGCTGGGGAAGGAGAGAGAAAGAGAGAGAAGTGATGGTGGTGGGCAGGAGTCATTTCCTGCAGAAGGGCACAGGAGCAGAGCTCCGGCAGTAAAGAGCCCAGGGGGCGGGCACATGCAACAAGCCCCACCCCCTGCTCCCAGCAGCCCTCAGTCAGAGCAAGAAGCAGCCAAGCAAGCTGCAGAGCCCCCCCACAGCCCCCCAGTCCAAAACAGTCCAGTGGCACCTTTAAGACCAAGTTTTATTCAGGTACAAGCTCTTCCTCTTCTGTGAGGACAGATCTGCATGTCCCCCCACCCCACCCCCAATAGCTAGCAATCCAAAACAGTCCAGTGGAGCCTGAGCTGTGGGTGTTGCCTTCTGACACACTTCCGGTCAGTGTTCCCTCTAAGCTGAGATAGTGTGAGATAGCTCACAGTTTTTTAGCCTCCAGCTCACACATTTTTGTCTCAGCTCAGGAAGGGTGGCTCCAGAACAAACTAATGTATGCAGTAGCCAAATCGCTCGCTCACAACTTTAATGCCAGTCGCTCACAAAGTAGAATTTTTGCTCACAAGACTCCACAGCTTAAAGGGAACTTTGCTTCCGGTGATGTCAGGGGGTGTGGAATATGCAAATGAGTTATGCTAATGAGTTATGCTAATGAGCTCCTGCACCTCTTTTTTTACGAAATGACCCCTGGTAGTGGGGAAGCCAATCTCTCTCCCATAACTTTCCATGACAGGGGGGTAGGGGGGGTTGGAAATGGGGGAAGCCAAAGTCTCTCCTGGGTTTGCCAATCTCCAGGTGGTGGCTGGAGATCCCCTGGCATCAATGCTCCCTCTAAGCTGTGGAGTCCTGTGAGCAAAAATTCTACCTTGTGAGCTACTGGCATTAAAGCTGTGAGCAAGTGATTTGGCTGCTGCAGAAATTAATTTGGTCTGGAGCCCTCCTTCCTGAGCGGAGACAAAAATGTGCGAGCCAGAGGCTAAAAAGCTGTGAGCTAGCTCATACTAACTCAGCTTAGAGGGAACACTGCCTGGCATTACACCTGATCTCCAGGTGGACTCTATGGCATTATATCCTGTTGAAGTCCCTCCCCAAACCCCATCCTCCTCAGGTTCCACTCCCAAAATCTGGTTATGTATTATTGTTAAGTATAAGTGGTTAAGACGCTGAACTGCAGGCTGTGGAAGGTCGGTAGTTTAGCCGTTCGAGACCCGGGTGCCGCATGATGGAGTGAACTCCCATCTCTAGTTCCAGCTCCTGCCAACCTGGCAGCTTGAAAGCAAGAAATTGCAAGCAGATAAATAGGTACCACTTTGGTGGGAAGGTAACAGCGTTCTGTGTGCCTTGGTGTTTAGTCACGCCGGCCACATGACCACAGAAACGTCTTCGGACAGCGCTGGCTCTTCGGCTTTGAAACGGAGATGAGCACTGCAACCCTAGAGTCGGATTTGACTGGCTTTTGAGCAAGGGAACCTTTACCTTTATAAGCATAATAGGTGCCCCACAAGAAAAAAAAATTGTCCCACAAGACTAAAGATCCTGGCTATGGCCCTGAGTACAGTTCGGACTCGACTGTGCGACTGAACAACAAACAGTTCTTCTAAGTGTTCAGGCTAACCATCAGCCATTGCAAAAGGCAGGCCATAACTCCTTTTTTGAGGCGCAGGCAAGTCTAATACATTTCAAAGTAGGGTGGGTAGCCCCGTTGGTCTGAAGCAGCAGAACAAACTTGGAGCTCAGTGGCACCTTTAAGACCAACAAAGTTTTATCCAAGGTATAAACTTTCATGTGCACAGGAAAGGTTATACTTTGAATAAAACTTCGTTGATCTTAAAAGGTGCCACTGGACTCAAACTTTGTCTTGACATTTCAAAGTACTGCAGCATCAGTCCGATTCTAGCCCTGCCTCTTTGAAAGCATTACATGGATTCCTATCATATTCCACCACTCTTGCCCCGCACATGAAGGATTCTAATCAGAACCTCAACCGGAGCACTTTCTTTTTGCATCTACCTCTTTGGAGTCCGCCTTCCTGCGGCCCTTCTCTATAACCCGCCAGTTCCCCCTCCAACCGCTAGGTGGCGCTGTGGGCAAAGCGCCCTCGTCCCCTCTAGGCATCATAACATTATAGTTCTCGTCCCGGCATCCTTTGCGCTCTCTTCGCCCGGCCGCCGCCGACATGGTGAGTGCGAGAGCGACGGAATCCGGGGCCATCCGTACTTGCGGGGCGGTTGCCAAGGAGGCGGCGAGTGGAATCGATAGCGGCGGAGGCGGGTGTCGTTCGGCCCGTCGGCGCCGTAGCGGTTAATTGGCGGTTTCTGCTTCCGCAGGCCCCGTCTCTGCTTGGGGGGGGGGGGGGGGGGGGGCGGCGGTTAGGCGAATACTCCAAGGCAGGCTTGTAGGCCGCGTTACCGGCCCTAGAAAGTGCCTGGGGATGAAGTGGGCCGAAGGAGCGCTGTAGAGGCAGGCAGGGGCTGTCAGCCGACCTTTACTAGGCCCATTCTTGGTCCCAAACGTATTTGGGATGGGGGCCATGTTAGGCTTACGCCCTCTCTTCTTCCTTGGCAAGGACTGCAGTTGCCAGACAGGCGGATATGCAGCAGGTGAAGCCTGGGTCGGCAGTAGAGCCTGCGCTCTGCGTGCAGAAGAGCCTCACCAGCATTCAGAGGAGACAGTACTGACCCGGATAAACCATGGGTCTGACTATCAGTTCTGTTTCACAAGTTCCATTGAGCACGTGTAGGGTCTGAGTAGATTCAGTTGGGTAGCCGTGTTGGTCTGAAACAGCAGAACGAAGTTTGAGTCCAGCGGCCCCTTTAAGACCAACAAAGTTTTATTCAAGGTATAAGCTTTCATATCTGAAGTGTATTAGCTTTTGTATCTGAAGAAGTGAGCGCGCACAGGAAAGCTACCTTGAATTAAACTTCCTTGGTCTTAAACGGGCCACTGGACTCGAAGTCTCAGTAGAGTGGACCCTTGATTTTCCTTTCTCCTGGGATGAAGTATTTCTCGCGTTACATTCAATGCACGCACAACTGAATTTGTTAGGTGCTGGTCCCTGGTTTCGTTTGTAAAATGAACACATGTTGGTTCTTTTTTCCCTAACAGATGTACTCAAATGCATACAGGGTTATACATGGGCTCATTGTAACATGTGACGGGTGCTCATGAAGGGCAGATGCATGTGTTCTTTCGCAGTTTTTCAGAGGCAGGGCTGCATTTTGGTGGCGGAGCATCTGCTTTGCATGCGGAAGGTCCCAGGTTCCGTCTCCAGTTAGGCAGAATCAGGTGGTAGGTTGGTGGCACCTGAGACCAATGTTCCCTCTAAACTGTGGAGTCTCGTGAGCAATTATTCTGCTTTGTGAGCTACTGGCATTAAAGCTGTGAGCCGGCGATTTGGCTACTGCATAACTCAGTTTGCTATGGAGCCATTCTCCCTGAGCTAAGACAAAAATGTGTGAGCCGGAGGCTAAAAAACTGTGAGCTGGCTCACACTAACTCAGCTTAGAGGGCACACTGCCTGAGACCCTGGAGAACTGCTGCCATTCAGAGTGGGCACTGCTGACATGTGTAGAGAATGCTCTGTTTGCATGGTACAGTGGATACATGGCATCTCTTTGTAAGAAAGAGCCAACCTGTGTTCACTTTATAAATTAAAGGTGGGACCAATACCTGGATGAATGTGGCGTTTCAATCACATAGTGGCTGTACTGTGTGTCACATGAGAATTACTCAATGCACATATGAAGAGAAATCAGGTGTACACTACATAATTTGGACATGAATTTGCTGTAACTGTGGGAACATGGCTGATGTAAAAAGGGGCTCAGTCACAGTTTTCGGGGAAGGGCCTGTGGATCAGCTCTCATCTGTGCCAGATTCTGACTGGGTCTGCTCTAGTGCAGGAGAAGTGTCAAAGTCCCAAAACACTGTGTGTTACCCCCCCCCCCCCAAGGTTTAAATGCATCTGATGGCTATGGATAAAATGGCAACACAATTGTTGGAAGCATTTTGGGGGAAATGGTTTGTGTTTTTTGATTACATTAACACTGTAAATGATGGAATAACTGCTTTACCTGTTAAATATGTTGGCTTTGTATTTTATTGATTGGTTATGTTAATGTTTTAAGAATTATTATGTATGTTAGTAGTTACATATTAGTTGAATTATGGGCACGTTTATATTTTGCTCTTTTTTTTTTGATTACATTAACACTGTAAATGATGGAATAACTGCTTTACCTGTTAAATATGTTGGCTTTGTATTTTATTGATTGGTTATGTTAATGTTTTAAGAATTATTATGTATGTTAGTAGTTACATATTAGTTGAATTATGGGCACGTTTATATTTTGCTCTTTATATTTTATTTTTTATTTTTATAAATAGTTATATGTTTATATAGAAAAGTTATAAAAATAAAGTTATTAAAAATGCATCTGATGGCATGTAAACTTCACCACGTCAGATCACCAGTGGAAAGGCAGGAGGCTTGATGGAATTATTTTATCATGTATTCAAAAGGAGTCCTAAGTCCATTTGATATGCAGGAATAAGGGTGCCACTAGCAGTATACCCTCTAGTTACAATTGGAGGTGCTGGCTGTGGTCAGACACCCCTACAAGGATTAATTAATAAATAATTTCAGGTGGAAATGCTACTTCAGCCAGGGAAACATTTCCCTTCTGCATGGAGTTTTGTATTGACTTTTAACATGAGCTGACAGCACTGTGTCAAAAAATAGGCCTTAAAACCGGGGTCTGCGGGCTTACGTCATCAAATAACTTACTGTCAAAATTTAATGTGAGCGCTCAACAGAGAGCCAGTATAAGAAATCCCATTTGCGTAACTGAAAACACACAGCTTAACATTGCTGATAAATGACATGTTGATTAATAATCCATCCCATTTCTGCAGCGCAAACACTGGGCTTTGCAAGTCTTAATAGAAAGGGGCACACAGGAGGTCTAACAAACAAGCAATATAAACTGGGAGCACCCTGTGCGATTGTTTAAATCCACTGGCAGAAATCTGCTCAATGGTTCTCACTTAGATTAATGGCAACTGTTCACCTCTGTCATGTCCCTTTCCGTAAAGCATCTCTAAGAAGACCTTTAGTCCCAGAAAAGCCTTTGCCTGCGATTCCCTTCACCTACTTGTTATCCTAGTGTGCCTCCTACAGCTCTATTACGGCTTAATTTAATTTTTAAAGAGCTGTACGAAACTCTGTACTGCGTCACATTTGGCTGTGGAGACATAGGTTGCCTTAAAGACATTGTACAGGCCTGGTTCCCCCTTTCTCGAGCCCTTCTGGGAGTCTGTGTTCACAACCATAACATGTGAATTGAGTTAGCTGAAGAGTGAATGACTGGCCCAAGGTCTCCTGGTGAGCAATGCTCCCTCTAAGCTGTCAAGTCTTGTGAGCAAAAATTCAACTTTATGAGCTACTGGCATTAAAGTTGTGCATGAGCAATTTGGCTACTGCATAAAACAGTTCGCTTGAGAGCCATCCTTCCTGAGCTAAGACAAAAATGTGTGAGCTGGAGGCGAAAAAGCTGTGAGCTAGCTCACACTAACTCAGCTTAGAGGAAACACTGCCGGTGAGCATCGCAGTTGTGGGAGTGCTTGAGCCTGGGTCACCCAGCGAGTTTCATTGTCAAGTGGAGATTTTGAACCCAGGTCTCCGAGGTGCCCTGGTCTGACATGCCGACTACTGCGCCTCATGGGCTCGTTTTAGGGACTCTCTCATTCTTCCCGGGCAAGGGCTAGCTAAAGATTTAGAAGCCACGGGCCCATTAACAAAGAAGAACAGTAATGCTGTTTTGCATAACTGACCTGCTCCTTTCCCCTTTGGACTTCCTAGGGACGCGTGCGAACAAAGACCGTGAAAAAGGCCGCCCGGGTCATCATTGAAAAGTACTACACCCGCCTTGGGAATGACTTCCACACCAACAAGCGAGTCTGCGAGGAGATCGCCATCATCCCTAGCAAAAAGCTTCGCAACAAGATTGCCGGGTAGGTCTTCAGTCCTTCTGACTGCTTAAAAAACATGGCCAGATTCTAAAGAGGCTTCCGTTTTCTTTGGATCCTGCATTCGAAAGTGATTTTGGTCTTGTCCGTGGCCTGATCATTGATAGTGCAGGAAGAAAATCCTTGAAAGCATTTCCCGTGTTTGGAGGGTCCGTTTCCATCCCTGCCAAACCCTGAGCTTTTCAGACACTGGTTTTTATAGGGTGCTCCATAACGGCCTAGAATGAACTGTGTCGGCTACAGCACGCCGCATCTCAGTTTGACCCTCATCCAGTGATTCGGTCCGTTTTAGAGTGAGCATTCAGCAAGACAATCCCTCCCCCAGAAGTCGACTGCCATTACTCAGGCGTTGCCTTTGCAGGTATGTCACCCACCTGATGAAGCGCATTCAGAGAGGACCAGTCAGAGGCATCTCTATCAAACTGCAGGAAGAGGAAAGAGAGAGAAGGGATAACTACGTCCCGGAGGTAAGCGTTGCGATCACAGGTGCTTTTCTCTTGGTGTATGGGGAGCCTCCACTCACTTCAAAAGTGGCTGCAAACGTGGAGCCTCTCCTTTGCCTGTGTGCTTTGAAAAGCCACAGCTGTTGTTCTGAAACAAGGCCAGCCTTTGGTCCAGTATAGTTTGCGTGCCAGCCACCGTCTCCCGGAAGTACAGCTGTCAAAGGGGCGCTTGCCCCTGGCAGTTGGTTCGCCTATCTTCTCGTGCAAAGAGACTCTTTGACCAGGGAACTGGGAGTCTTCAGCCCTTCCAGTGAATGAACCGAATTCAGTGTGAAGCTGGGAATGGTGCGTTGAACTTTCGATCTGGGTACAAAGCTCTGCTTGTACATGAGCTCGTTGGGAGACTTTGGGCCAGTCGCTAATTTCTTCACTACAGTTACTGATCCGTAAAATGTGCTCGGCCCCGATCTAGATGGCCCAGGCTAGCCCAGTCTCCTAAGTCCCCAGAAGCTAAGCAGGGTCAGTCCTGGTTAGTATTTGGATGGGAGACCTCCAGGGTCATGACCTAGAGGCAGGCAATGACCAACCACCTCTGAATGCCTCTTGCCTTGAAAACCCTACAGGATCGCTCTAAGTTGGCTGCGACTTGACAGCACTTTCCACCACCAAAACAGGCTGTGCTGATTAAAACAGCAGGTCAAAAGCGGTAGATCAGTTTATGCATGAAATTATATGTTTCATGGTCACTTTTTATGTTTTCTGGAGAGGTGAAAACCGTCCGAAGTGGGCAGAGGGGTATGCAGGGCAGATTTGATCATGAAAGTTGGCAGCAGGCATTGCCGTTTAGATTAGTCCTTGAGGAATTGAACCCAAAGGGGGAATCACACAGAACTGGATTCAACAAAGGCCATCTTTCAAGAGTGTTCAGGGTTGAACTGGTGGACCTCAGGCGGCTGGCCTGGATCTTCCAGAGCTGCAGTTTCCACTCCTGTGTGTGAAGGTGTTGGCCTGTCCCTCTTTCAAACCTGCATTCGAAAGTGATTGTGGCCTTCTTTGCTTGTGGCCCGGTCATTGATAGTGCAGGGAGAGAATTCTTGAAAGCATTTCCCGTGTTTGGGGGGGCCGGTTTCCATCCCTTTCAAACCCTGGGCTTTTCAGACACTCCCATCTTTTGAGCCAGGTATGATAACATTTGTCGTAATTTGTGCTATAGAGACATCTCCAGGAAGCCATCCTAATATTGTTGTTGATATCCACAAACTGTGGCTGCCGTGTTGCAAACTGGATGTGTTGTAATGGCTTTGACAACCAGCTTTGTCTGTAAATACATCACCCTTGTTCAGAACTTCTTTCTGTTTTGATTGTCTAGGCCAGTGGTGGCGAACCTATGGCACGCGTGCCAGAGGCGGCACTCAGAGCCCTCTCAGTGGGCACGCGTGCCATCGCCCCAGCCAGGCCCAGACCGCCATTAAAGTGTGGAATTCTCTGCCAAATAATTTTAAGTCAATGAAAGCATTTGGGATTGCTTTCCTTACTTTGTTTCGATCATCTTATGTTAATGTATGAGTTGTTTTTTCTAAAGTAAAACCTCAGTATTCAGGTTAAATTGCCGTGTTGGCCCTTTGCGATAAATAAGTGGGTTTGGGTCACATTTTGGGCACTCGGTCTCTAAAAGGTTCACCATCACTGGTCTAGGCAGTATGTCTTTCCTGACTGTCTGCAGCTAGATTCTAGGCTAGGTCAAACCAGGCCTTAGTCCAGCCTACCATTCCATTTACTTTTACACAGTTTTGTCTGTCTGTGTGGCATATGGCTTGGGTCTCAACCAGTGCTCCCTCTAAGCTGTCGATTCTTGTGAGCAAAAATTCTACTTTGCAAGCTACTGGCGTTAAAGTTGTGAGCGAGCACTTTGGCTACAGCATAAATTAGTTTGCTCTGGACTGGAGCCATCCTTCCCGAGCTAAGACAAAAATATGTGAGTCGGAGGCTAAAAAAACTGTGAGCTAGCTCACGCGAGCTCAGCTTAGAGGGAACACTGGTCTCAACTCTCAAGAGGAACAAAGGGCTACTTTCTTCCTCTGCTCCGTTGTTTCTCCACTGTGGTGTCTGCATTTAGTTAAGGTTGCCAGTTGAAATATGGGCCGAGGCTTCTGTTCTTCAGAGAGATGTCCCCTGGTTCCACTGCTGAAATTAGCCGGTGCCTAGAGGTGTGGGCACCTCATCGTTAAAAATGTGGCATGGAGAAGGCTAATGAGATATGGCTAGAAAGGCATGTTCTGGGAGACCAGTCATGGGTACTGCTTCCCTGTTTTTCTACCCATTGGAGATGGGGAGTGCTACCCCTGGGGGCAATCTTCTGAAAGATTAGTTAGTATAGAGTACACGTCACTGGTATGCCTTGCCAAATGAACACAGAAGTAAATTCCAGCATACTTTTCCTGTCTCCTTTCTGAGAGCTGGGCAGTGGTGGTGGTGGTGGGGGATTGGAATTGCATGAATAATGTGCCACTGTACTTCTTCCTGATGGTACAGCAGCATTTATACAAGCGTGTGCTTCCTCTTATCAGGAATTCAGTAAATCGGAGCCTGAAATTCTTTTAAAAATTGAGCAGTATCCATGGGAAACCCTTCGAGTGTTTTAGAGGCCCAAAATCTGGTTGTTGAATTTGACGTGACCATTAAAAAAAAACCTTATAAATCCAACCCAGATGAGGGTGTATACTCCCAGCCATCACACCCTGGGGCCTGCTTATTGTTTGGCAAAGCGCTCTCTGCTTTTGCTTGGCTAGCCCTGGACATCTTCACGTGACAGGCTTTTGTGGAGAAGATCAGCGTCTAGTTGACCATGCACCGCAGCAAACGTCTGGAGCTAAGCAGGTCTTTGTCTGGTCAGTCCACAGATGGGAGACTTGCTGAGAATGACCCTTTGTTTGCCCCCCATCGTTCCCCTCACAGTTGGGGTGTGTGAATGACTTGGTATAGTTAACTGAACCAGAATGGAATTTTACCTTGTGACGGGAGTTGGTATGCACAGGGTCTCATTCGCATTTGGTGCTACAAGCATTCCACTACTATAACATCTCGAACTAGGTCTTTTTGGAAACGTTGGGGAAGATTTATAGTCACACCTGCGGGTTGTTTGGGGGCGATGCTTCCCTCCATTTTTTCTCTCCCATTGTTGCTTGCTCATGGTCACTGTAGGACCAAAGTTGGCAAAAGGTCTGGCCTTAGGTGTGCCACCCCACAAACAGTGTGACGTGCAAATACATATCACGAATGTGTGTGTTTTGTGTGCATATGAGACCAGTCCAATTTATTGTCATGCCGTTCCTCGTCAGGTCTCTGCCCTGGATCAAGAGATCATTGAAGTAGATCCCGACACCAAGGAGATGTTGAAGCTACTGGTGAGTGGGGAACTGGGCGTGGCTGCCAATGGAGTGCCCTTTTGTGGCCATCAGCCCCAGAAGAACTGCAGCCAGCATCTCTTGCTGGTAGCACAGAAGGAGTGTCCAAAGTATAGTCTTTGTGGCTGTTGTTCAGCAGACCTCAGTGGGACTAGCTGGATCTCTGGATAGCTTAGCTATACTGCATAAGGTGATTGGCCCAGAAATCTAGAGCAGGGCCCCCCAGTCTTTGGAATTCTGGGACGGGGGGGTGGGCACATCTACAAAATGGCTGCCACAGAAAGGGGAGCCATGCGCACAGAGGGAACCCAAGCGCAGGGGAGAAGAGGGGTAATTTCTAAAAGAAAGAGGAGCAAGCAGGAGAATAAAACCAACACAGTGTGGCAGCTGCTCCCAAAACTATTATTGAAATCTGTACAGTCAATCAGATCTCCACGGGCCAATCAGAAGCCCTACTGGGAAACAGCCCACCTTGGCCCCACCCATTTTCTAAAATCACTTGGTGGGCACCAGGAAAGTTATTAATGAGTGCTGTGGTGCCCACGGGCGCCGTGTTGGGGACCTCTGATTTAGAGTATGGGCATTTGCCAGAACGTTTTGCTACTGAACATCAGAGGTGGTTTTGGGGTTGCTTTATGCCAGTGGTTTTTGTAGCTCTTTCTGTGTAATTTGGACTGGGGGAGGTCTTCCTAGCTGTCACGCCGCCGTCTGCTTGCTGCGCCCTGGGCTGACCACTGTCTCTGTGCTGTTTTCCTTCCAGGACTTTGGCAGCCTGTCCAACTTGCAGGTCACGCAGCCCACCGTAGGGATGAACTTCAAAACCCCAAGAGGTGCCATCTGAAACCATCACCGTACTGTCACTTTTACAATAAATATGTAGAAACAAAGCTTTTTTTGACTCCCTTGTGTTTTTGTTTTTTAAATTATGTTTATTGGTTTTTTAACATTAAGTTCACACATATTGTTACATCAAATCTCTATAGCTTGAGTCCACTAAACAATCTTTTCTACCCATTTTTTACTCTAGACCATTTGTTAATTACGACCTTATCTTCAATCCCATGCAATTGAGCATGTATCATGTCCATTTCCGCGGCTTCCAACAATTTAAATGCTATTTCTCCCCGAGTGGGTAATCTATCTCAGTGTCCAGGCCATGGATAATGGAACACTGATGTCCATGATCTTACTACGCTTTGTAATAGGTTGCATCCAGCTGTCCACAAATACAAGGATCTTTCCTGCATTCCCTTCCCAGCACTCCTTTCCAACTCGGGGGAAGTCTATTGCCTGAGTCGCAGGACCTGTGGCTATCATTCCAACAGCCTGGAGAGGAGTCGACTGGGAGGTGATATGAGAACCATCTTCGAGGAGAGAATACTATCAGAGTATTAAAGGACATTCCATTTGAAGTAAGACAATGGAGAAAGAAGTATAAAGATCTTGTGCTTTTTCTTCAGACAAATTCAATTGGATATAAATGGTTATTTCCAGAAGGCGTCACTTTCAAGATTAAGGATAAAAAAGAAAAGATTGACTCTGTTCTGAAAGCTCAAGAATTTCTAAGGGTCCAGTTGGGAAGGCCAGAGGACAGTAAAAAAGAAGAGGACTTATATGTTTTCTGAATCAATTTATCGTTTGATGATAACCAAATCTTATCTAGTACAGTCTTGCTTTCTTCAAAACCAATGATCACATCCTTATTTTTTCTAGACCTTACTTGGTTAGCTTCCCACCAGGATAATTTGATATTATGTGGTTCGGCTAGTATCTCTGAAGACTTTAATTTATTTTCTTTATCTAGCAAAGTTTTGTATTTTTCCATATGTTTCATCATTATAAGAGTGGGTCTTACAAAAGCCTCTAATGGTGAGACCCATTATGTCAGCTATGCTGCCATGGGGGTTGGGGAGTTCATTCTGTGTCTTGCTAATTGCTATTGCATTCATGTGTCTGCAGTTTGTCTGTGCCGTAATGCTTATCTCTACAGATGTGCAGGAGGTTGTTATGTTGGAAGTTGTATTGTCTGGAAGTCTCCTATTCACCGTGAGAGACTATTGCTTCCCAGCTTTCGCCACCTAACGGTTTTCTGGCTGGTCTGTGCGCGGGACGGTTCCTAATTGGCCCATGCCATGGGGGGGTGCATATGCTCAATGGGTTGCCGCCATTCTCAACCAGTGCCTGTGTTACTGCATCTATAGCTTTGCAATTAACGTATAACCATTCCTGAATGCGTGTACTTCGTTGTGAGCTGTGGGTTCTGACACATAAAGGAATTTTCTTATAGTTTTGCTCTTTTATATTATTCCAAATTTTATGCAAAGCTCCCCTTAACATATGTCGTTGGAAGTTCGAATGTATTTTATCTTTTTTATACCAAATGTAAGCGTGCCATCCCATGCAAAGATTTGGCCTTCTAGTGCCAAACATCTTGTATTTTCCAACATTATCCATTCTCTTATCCACCTTAGGGCAGCAGCTTGGTAATACAACCTCCAGTTTGGTACACCTAAACCACCTCTTTCCTTTCTATCGTGTAAAGTTTTCCATTTCTAGCTTTTTTTGGAGCCCAAATAAATTGTCTGGTAATTTTATCTAACTCATCAAAATATCGGTGTATTTTGAGCTAGAAACAAAAACCTTGGTAGTATATTCATCTTTAAAGTTGCTATCCGTCCCATCATTGAAATGTGTAGATTTTTCCATTTAACCAAATCTTTTCTAATTTCTTCTAGTAACTTAATATAATTATCTTCCATTAGCGTACTACATTTACATTTGATATGATAATACCCAAGTATTTTACTTTTTTCACCACTTCCATGTTGGTTATATCCCGTAACTCTTGCAATATTTCTTGTGGACAGTTCTTAACCAATAATTTGGTTTTTCCAATATTGATCCTAAGGCCAGCCACTTGACTATACTCTCTAATCGTCTTTAACAACATTGGTATAGATTGTAAAGGGTTCTTTACGATAAACAAAAGGTCGTCTGCAAAAGCCTGTAATTTATATTCTTCCCCTTGTATTCTAAATCCTTGAATTGCGTTATCCTCCCTCACCAAGTTATTTAACGTTTCCAAAGCAAATATAAATAACAGAGGGGATAGTGGGCATCCTTGTCTGACCCTCTTTTGTACTTCAATGGACTGAGTCAGTTCTCTATTAACTAATATCTGGGCATATTGTTTCCTGTATGCCTTGAATGTATCCCATACTATTCCAGCTGAAATATCAGGTTGCAAGTTTCTTTTGAACAAAGGTCTTCTTTATGAAATCTGCATCTCTAAATAGACCTGTACTTAACTTCCATCTGCCTCTCTTTTTTCTTTCCTCAAAAGACACTCTTATCGGATTGTGATCTGCAAATGTATTTGGCAATATTTCGACCTCTGTGAGTTCTTCAAACATTTCCATTGTTGCCCAGACCATATCAATTCTTGACCATGTTTTATGTCGTGCTGAGTAAAACTTATAGTCATTCTTCTTTATATTCCTTGTTCTCCAAATGTCTAATAAGTTGTATTCATCTACTATCTGCATATATGTATTAGGTAGAATTGTTCCTTTATTTCTGGTTGTATTCAAATTTTTCCTATCTAATTTTGGATCTAAGACCCCATTACAGTCTCCTATTATACAAATATTTTCAAATTCTTTCCTTTTCAATACTTCTTATAGTTCTTTATAAAACTTCTCTTGGCTTTGATTTGGAGCGTATATATTAACCAATAATGTTTCTCTTCCATTCCTAAATATAGTCGTGGCTACAATCCTTCCATATTCTGACCTATAAAACAAATCCACCTGAATATAATTTTGGATATAAGTCACAACACCTCATTTCTTTTTCATATCTGCTGAAACAAGTTCCTTTCCTAATTTCCTATTAACTAAATATTTTTCATCCCCTTTATATGAGTCTCTTATAAGCATATTACATCTGCTTTCAATTTGACTATTTGATGAAATATTCTTATTTTCTGTGGACTGTTTAATCTATTAACATTAATCGAAAGAATTTCCATCCCTTTACTCATGTTTGTTTTTATTATCTTTTTCTCTAGCTCTGTATTGGAATCTTGTCAATACATGCGAAACCGTGGTCCCTCGTCCTCTTTTATCTTACTTTCCTGTATTTTTCCCATCTTTTCCTTTTTCTTTTTCTGGTCCGGGAACACCATCTTCTGTCTCTTCCTCTTCTCTAACCTCATCTTCCTCATCCTCTTCCTCCTTCTGCCCCCCCAAGACTTCTCCATATTTCTCCAGAAAATTTTCTACCTTGAACATTGAATCTGGACGGTGTGAGCTACTGGCATTAAAGTTGTGAGCAGGTGATTTGGCTACTGCATAAATTAGTGAGTTCTGGAGCCCTCCTTCCTGAGCCAGGACAAAAATCTGTGAGCCAGAGGCTAAACAACTGTGAGCTAGCTCACACTAACTCAGCTTAGCGAGAACACTGCCACCGGCTTCTGTGTAGCTTTGCTCTCCTTTCCACTCTTTCATGTTGCATCGTGTCTCTTCGTCAGCTAGCTCACCACCCGTTTGCCCTCGCTGAGAAAGTGCATTTGCATATCGAGCCTTACAACAACCCTGAAAGGTAGGTCCTATTAGCTGCATATTGCGGATGGGGCCTGAGGCTGAAAAACAGCTTGCAGCCAGACTGCAGAGGACAAGTGTGGCCAAGCCTGCTTGACGTGAGAGCCACATAGAATAAATGCCAGAGGTTTGAGAGCCGCAAAACGTGAACAAATATTACACACACATTTTTATTAATATATGCAAATTTGCTTTTTATTAACATTAAATGCAACCGCCAAAAGTAAAAACTAGAGGGGTCAAAACATAATTGATAATGATATTTATTTGTTTGCTAATGATATTTATTTGTCTGGAGCTGCGGTGGCTCAAGTGGTTAAGACGCTGAACTGGGGGCTGTGGAAGGTCAGTAGTTCAGCAGTTCGAGACCCGGGTGCCGCATGACGGAGTGAGCTCCCGTCTCTAGTTCCAGCTCCTGCCAACCTAGCAGTTCGAAAGCAAGAAATTGCAAGTAGATAAATAGGGACCACTTTGGTGGGAAGGTAACAGCGTTCCGTGCGCCTCGGTGTTTAGTCATGCCGGCCACATGGCCATGGAAACGTCTTCGGACAGCGCTGGCTCTTCGGCTTTGAAACGGAGATGAGCACCGCAACCCTAGAGTCGGACTCGACTGGCTTTCGAGCAAGGGAACCTTTACCTTAATGATATTTATTTGTCTAAAAGAGAGAGAAAAAGAGGTGGAAAGAAAGAGAAAGAAAGCAAATAGATGGGGGGGGGGAGAAAAAGTATGCCTCCCTTTTGCTTCCCCAGCTGCCCTGCCGGAAGCTTCACAGTCGGTGAAAGAGCCACAGGAGGCTCCTGAGCCACAGTTTGGCCACCCCTGGCATAGGAGGCCTGCTCCAGAAACCCAGAACATAACAGTTTAATAGAACGGGCGGAGGTGAGTCTTAAATACTTGAGGCTGAGTGGTCTGCGGTTGGAGCTGCCAACAAGCAGCTTTTCTTTCTAAAAAGCAGCCATGTGGGGCCTGGATTCTGATTGGCCTGGGTCCTGGAGTACCCTTTCAGCCCCCGCTCAGTTTTTCTGCATAGTAGTGACTCCATGGGCCATTTCAGATCGGGAAGGTGGCTTTGGGGGGGGGGGTGAAACATGGGTGTCTTGTCTTCCCGAACTAGCAGACCTAGCATGAATTTGGGATTCATTTGCACCCTGTGTGGCTGCTATTTAAAGGGGAGCTTGGATGCAAAAACTCCCCCCCCCCCCCCCCCCCTCCCCCACACACTGCTGTCTTCACACTCTATGTTAACAGGACTGACCACTAGGGGGCGTGTGGGAGCTTTGGAAGGG